CTTTTGAAGGAGTTCCAACATGAAGGCGAGACAATGATCTGTGACGGGTGGAGCCGGGTCTTCCGTATACAAGAGCCGGTCTATTTAGAGCTTTGTTTGGAGTTTTTCTCCACGGTATCTTTTACCGGGGGAGTGGATGTGTATCACCCGGCAAGCTTTAGTTTTTGTCTTGGAGGCGAGTATCGTCAATGCTCGGTGGTGGACCTTGCTTGCCGACTAGGGATCTACGATCAGCCCTTGGTGTCAACAAACATCTTTCGGGCCTTTTTGGCAAATACCCATATGGTGTTCCCCGATGGAGTTACAAGCACGGGCTGGTGGAATACCATTGGAAATAAAGTTTACATCCCAAAGTCTGCACAAGAAGGGAGCATCCGATCCCCAACTCACCGCCTCATTCACCACCTTATTTCCTCCACCATCAACCAAAGAAAAATAGGATGACAAGGTTTCCAACCTTGACGTCTTCTATCTATGGAGCATAATAACACCCGGCATCTTTTGCAACATCCCTTGGTGTATAGCTTCATACCTTTCGGAGGGTGCGGTCAAAGATCGCAAAACCTCCCGTATTAATGGTGGAATGTTTGTCACCCGATTGGCTAACTCATTCGGGTTGATGAACCGCGGTGCATGGAACTTCATGACATTGATCCCGACACCTCCGTTCAATCCCATTCTTTTCCGAAGAGCGAGGATAATTGAAGACTATGGTGGTGGCCATTATGCCATCCCAAATGATGACCCCGTTGTTGGTCCCGAAGCACCGGGAAGGAGGGTAAGATCACGAAGAGAGCGGGATGTGGAGGACGAGCCGCCGGTGATTCCGGTCGAGAATGAAGACGTACCAATGGATTGGTACAATGTAGAGATGAGGCGGATGCAGGATCAAATGGCGCGGGGGTTGAACTTTAGCAACCAATCTCACATTCGACTTTTTGACCACTTCAATATCCCACATATTGATGGTGGAAATTACCCATTTATTCCATCTTGGGATGAGGTGATTGGTGCGCGACGGAGTGGAGCCGGAGGAAGTGGAGCCGCTAATGATGATGAGGAGGATGAAGATTGATTTTTTTTGTGTTTTTAATCAAACAATTTTAATTTTCTGTTTTGTTTTTATTTTTATTTGGTGTGTATGCCTTGTTTGAGATTTTATTGTGTTTAATGGTTGTTTGCTTTAGTTATTTTTCAGGATTGAATTAGGATTGCTTGCTTAGGATGGTTTAGAGTTATAGCATGGATGTTATCACGAGTGAAAGCGAGTCAAGGAAGCGGAATTTTAACGTCAAAGTGTCGAGTCCGGTCCTAGGGGTATGAGCAATTGAGTCCGAACGTGAGGAAGAGTTAAAGAAGTTTTTAGAGGCTAAAACAGTTGCAAAATACCAAGATTTTTCGTTCAGTGGCCAACTCGTCGAGTGCACTAAGCTGACTCGACGAGTCGCCTTGTATTTCCACAAATTCTGAGAAGGCGCGCTGGTACTCGACGAGTCCACCATATGACTCGACGAGTCGTTCAATTTTTATGCCGACGGACTGCTGATTTGATGCTGTACTTGTACCACTTGCTTCCTTATTCTTCCATATCCATTCTTGAAGATCTTACACCGATTTTCGCATATTTGGAGCGACCCACACGAGATGAGACATCCATGACATGGATGAGATGTTACCATGTCTAAAGTTAATTGAAGTTGGAGCTTAAATGAAAGTTATCAACCTATCCACTGCTATCCCAGGGGAGTTTGTTCCAATTCCCTCTTTATTATTTTATTGTTTTACTATGCATCATATGCAATGAGGGCATTGCATCACATAAGTGTGGGGTAGGGGGTTGGTTACATAATAGTCAATTTTTAAAAAATTTGCATACCAAAAGTATTATTTAGGACTTAATTAGAAAATTTTGGTAAAAAATTAGGATTCCATGTTAGAATTGTGTTGATAATTGCATGAAGACCCAAATGTTTAGTTGAGCCTATATACGTTCTAGTGCATTTGTGGCTTCCTTATTTCAGTGAAATCATGAGACAAAAACACGACCTTGCTCAGCCTGAGGGATGCAATATGTTTAGCAGCCTAAACCTGAAATGTATCCAGGAAAATTTTTATCATTAGCCAATAAAGGTTGAGATTGAGCGCCTCTGCTTAAGCATGTAGGGATTTGAGTGAAAAAAAAGTGAGGTATACATGTAAAAAAAAGAGAGAGAGAATCACAAGAAAAGTTGTAAGAATTTTGGAGCAAATGAAGTGAAGATCTAAAGATCAAAATTCCAAGAAATCCAAAAAGTTGAAGATACCAAAAGTCAATACAAGTTGGTGAATTCAGAGATATCACAGATCAAATTATCAAGAAAGTGAAGAATTCAAAGAATTCCATAGTGGTATCGAAAAGTTGTAATTCTAGAATATGTATGCTTAGGTTGCTCAATTAAAAATACCTTGAGGGTAAAGAGGTTTTCTGAGGATGGATTCGGAGGGTTGCATAAAATGAGCATAGTTCGGGGTGAGTGAGCGAATGTTTATGAGGATTGTGAGTATTTGGAATATGGGGGGTTCTTTAGGAAAAATTTTAGACACAAATGCATGCGTTGCGGTCTTGGCATAATGGCTGGGTTAGATTGGAGTTGTTATACATAATTCTAATGTGTTAAAATTCAATTTTTCTTGGGGGCAAGCAAAAGTCAAGTATGGGGTATTTTGATATGTGCATATTTTGTGTGTATTAAGTATAATATTTATTTATATATTAGCTAAATTATCGCATATTATGGACAAAAGGTACTTAAAAGTGTTAAATTATGTTTTTCAGTCCAAAGATGAAGCTCAGAAGCGAAAGGAAGTAAGAGAAGCGGTTAGGAGCTCGAGAGTGGAATGAAGAAGGAAAACAACTAAGAAAGGCTTCTACTCGTCAAGTCGAGACTGGACTCGACGAGTCCGGTCGAGGAATCAGAAGGATAATGATTCGGAATTCCAGATAGTTATCGCAATAGGTGATATGTGAGAGGGACTCGACGAGTCACCATATGACTCGACGAGTCGGAACGCATATTTAAAGATAACTCCACAGATCGAGAGGAAGGGAATTTTGGGAAGTTTCAGAAGTGCTTTGCTGCGAATAAGAAGCCAGAAGAACCCTAGAAGTCGACGAAGGAAGCTAGAATTCAATTCTGGGAGTAATTAAGGCACAATTTCATCATTCTACTTATTCCTTTTGTTTTGTCAACATGATTAAGCAACTTGAACTTGTTCGTTTGCTGTTATTTACCTTAATTATGAACTAAAATCTTTAGACTTCTGTTTGGGGATACAAAGTTGACAATATGGTTTGATTGATTGGTAGGATTAATTCCAAGTTGGTGAATTTTTGTTATTTTAGCTTGCTAAAGAACCTTGTGTATGAATGATAATTAATTTTCTGTTAATAGGAAGATAATTGATTAGCATGAACATCTATTGATTATCAACCTCATATAATATGTGACCACTATACTATATGTCTAGGATTAATGAATATGAAACTAGAATTAATAAGGAAATTGAGTAAATTCATGTGCAAGCTTGTAAGATGACCATCAAACAAGAGGTTAATTAAGAATAATAAATTAATTAGCTATTGCAAGTCTAACTTAACCCGAATAATAAATCTAGTAAATATAATTAAATCAAGCAATTGGCCACTGTTTGAGTTAGTTTATTTGCTAAGGATTAGGGTAGTGAACATGAGCCTAATCACTTGAATCGGTAACCAACGAAAGAATTAATCCATTGCACTATTACCTTGAAATCAACCATAGAGTTAACCGAGTTGAACTAAACAGAAGTTCCTTTCCCATTAATTGAATCTAGTTAAATTGTTATTTTCTAGTCTTAAATTAGTTATAGTTAGTAAGTTTCTAGTCTTGTAAAACTAGAGAAAAAACCCTTATTTCTTAATCAACTTAGATAGAATTAGTTTTTAATTTAATTTGCCGTTCCCTGTGTTCGATACCCTACTTATTTAGCTATACCACAATTGATAGGTTCACTGCCTTTTGTGTGTTATTTGATAATTAAAGTAGGATTAAAACTAAGTGAGTTTTACACACATCATACACTAATGTTTTTTTTGTACCGATGATGATGCGTTGATGATGTTTAGCATGCTGAGTACACTGTATGATCTCTTATCTCTTTCTCTTCTATTAAACTAAAGTTGAATGATTCACTGTATTAAACCAGACACTGATAACAACTTGAAACTCTTTGTCGATGGTTAGACAAAATACCAAGTTCTATCACACGCAACTATCCCTTCTTACCAATCTTACACTGATTCTGTGATTCGGTGTGACAAAACACATACTGATGAGAATCTATCAGTCTTTGCTGATGGTTAGACAAAATACCAAGTTCTATCACACGCAACTATCCCTTCTTACCAATCTTACACTGATTCTAGGATTCGGTGTGAAAAAACACACGCTGATGAGAATCTAACAGTCTTTGCCGATGGTTAGACCAAAAACACAAAGGTCTATCACACGCAACAATCCTCTCTACCTTCTTCTCACTCAGTGTCTAATGATTCAGTAAGAAATACCACTCACTGATAAAGACTCGACAGTCTGTGCCGATGGTTAGATAATTAAACTAGTATCTATCACACGCACCAATCACCTTGCTAACCCAATACAAGCAAGTTGTACCTTGAATTGACGACAAACTATCTTTCAGCATGTACCTCTCAGTGATAACAATCTCCGCGCTTCCGCGGTCGCTGATTGTAGTTTCCTCTTCGGTACAACGACTATATTTACCCAACGACTATTTTTTGATTTGACAGTCTGTCAAGATACGCAGTTATTTTCGATGAAGATAATCATTACCTTTTTTTTTACCGTTGCATTCCTTATTTAAACCTTTTCACCTCTTCTCCAAACCTTTTTACCTTCCCCCAATCTTCTCACTCTTAAAAAAAAAAAAAAAAAAAAACCCTAGAATCCTAAACCTCTTCAATGGCGGCATCACTGTTCACCTTCTCCTTCACCTCAAGAAGAGTTGTCCCAGCTCCAAACTCGCCTCCTCTTGCCATATACATCAAAGCCACCAACGTAGTTTTCAACCTTGATATTCCAGAAGTTCATCGAGGTCTTGGACTTGATGATTTTGTTAATTTCTTAGCTTCCTGCCGACTCCGATACGCAATCAGTGACGTTCCATCAGAGTTCTTTCCCGAACAAGTCTGTGAATTCTACTACACTACAACAATTAATGATGAAAACAACGCCATCTCTGGGACTATTGGCCGTGGAAGACACTCAGTCTTCAATACCGCTGACCTCCTCAGTACTGCGCTCAGGTTACCAATCTTTGAACCATTCTCAGAGCTTCCATCTATTGAACGATGTAGATGTCTCTTTGATCAACTGGGATACGATCACTCTAAGGCTGGTACTCGGTCAGCTCTCATTTTGCGTCAGTGCATGACTCCAGGATGGAAGTTCTTCACCGGTGCTCTGTGTAAGTGTGTGGGTCACAAATCTCGCAATGGTGATCAACTGAGCACGTATGAACAACAAGTCGTCTGTTCCTTTCTTCTCAACAAACGCCTTGATTATGGGGCTTTCTTCTTTGATCAGCTTGTCCAACTTCTTCGTGCAAATGTACGCGCTGATCATGTCCCCTTTCCACGCTGGATTGCTCTTGTGCTAGATAAATTTTTCGCTGAAGCTTACTATTCACATTCTGGGAACCCCATCCAATGCCCTTGCATGTCACTGCGAATGTATCAGGATGATCCATTGGACACCGATATCGGCATCTCTGATCGGATGAGAGAATGGATCGCAAATCCATATACTGTTCCTTCCCTCACCGCTAATACTGATGAAGGAGCTGATGGTAACAACGAAGATCATGCTGATCAAGAAGCTGAATCACAGAATGGTGGCCATCTCTCCCCTCAACTCTCTCATCATACTCTCTCTGACACTGAGAGAGGTCACTCAGATCAAGGGGAGCCATTATTTCAGGGGGAGCAACCATTCTAGAGGGAGCCACTATCTCAGGGGGAGCAACCTCGCTCACCAGAAGTTACAGGTACTTCATTTCTTCGCATACTGGCCTCAGCATTTAATGAGCTTCTGACACTGACTCGGGACATGAGTCAACGTCTTCTACGAATTGAGGCCGATGTCCAGCAGCTGAAAGGTATTCTCTTGCCAACTCCTTCCCCTAGCCCACAACATGATGATGATCAAAAGGGGGGAGAAACTGATGATGATCAAAACGAGGGAGACACTGAATCTGTTGATCTTGAATCTGTGGACAACACTTTAGTCCAGACTGATCCACCACATCCGATGCACGAGTCTGATAGACCAGCTGCTGACGAGTCAGATAGACCTGCAAATACTGAATAGATTGCTGAAGATAGTGAGCATGATGATGAGTGTCAGATTCTGGACATCAACTTCATTAATCCCACTATTCCAGCTCAAGGAGAAGCCTCAGAGGATAATGAAGATGAACATGATGATGAATGTCAAATGCTAGATATGAAATTCATTGATCTTATTATGCCAGTCCAAGGAGAAGATTCAGATGTAGCTAGTGAGGATACTCAACCTCTATCTTGCAAGCGCAAGGCAGCAGATACTGAATTGGCTTCTTCACACACTGATATTTCTCTGCCTAGCAAGAAACCTAAGTCCATCGTCAGCATATCCAACTTGGCAGCTGAATGGAATATGTCTCCTGATCAAGTTAAGCAAATTCTTGATGAAGCAAATCAAGCTCAGCTTCTAAAGAATATTGCTCAAGCTGATGAATCTCTCATTCAGCATCAACTTCAGGCCAAAGGATCTTTTGAAGCTCAGTTGCAGAAGTTCTTGGAATATCAGTCCAAATCCAAATCTTCCCAGCCTCCTCCCAGTAGCAGCAAGTCAAGGACTAAAAATGTTCTAGACAGGATTGATCGAAAGAGGTTTCAAGATGTTCTTAAACGACGAGTGAGCAGTGATAAGATCATCAAAGTTAAAGCTTCTAAACCTCGTAACGAGAAAATTCTTACATTGTTGATCACTCATCAAGGTCCTCAACATCCATACACTGAAGTTGTCAAGAGGGATGAGCTGATCAGATACAGATATTTTGAATGGATGGAATTGCTCGAATTAGCATCCAAGCAAACTTCAGCTCTTTCTTCAGAACTGACATGTGCTCTCCATCTACTGATCAAGAAAGTTCAGCATCTGGATCTTGTTCCCGTGAAACACTCTCAGCAGCAAGGCCAAAGTTCCTCAGTTCCTAGAATCAGAAGGACCAGGTTTCAAGTTGATAGTGAAGATGTTTTGGTTCTAAATTTTGGTGCTGAAGGAATAAACAACTCTCTTCCTATCGGTGTTGAGCCAGTTCAACATAAGTTCATCTCTGTTCCTGAACATGGAATGTTTTATCTCGATAAAAACAGAAGAATGTGCTTTCAGCGCACCACAGAAATTCCAAGAGCTCCAACAGCACATCTTGTTGGCCTAAGACAAATGTGCATGAGTCATCAAGATCTTTCTGGAGAGTTTCACATACTGATTGCTATGGAGCTACTGAATAGAAGACAGGAGCTGCTGGATAGTCCTTACTAGCCTGTAAAAATAGAAGCTGAAGCTGAGTATGAAGAATTTTTGTCCAGAGGTGTTCTTGAATAGTTGTTGTTTTGAACATCATCATATTGGGGGAGATTGTAAGGTCGAACATTATAATATGATGATGTTTGAAACTAATTCATCAGCATCAGTATCAGCGTCAGCATACAAGATGTTATGTATATATAGTCTTACGTAACAGATTTAGTATTTATCTTGTTTCCATAGTTATCTTGTATTAGTTAGCTGTAACATCCCTGATTTGTAAGGATTGTCTATAATAGTTCTATATAATCTTTTGTACGGGTTTGTGAATGGGTTGTCTTTCACAAACCCTAATAGCCGCTTTGTGCAAACAATAATCTCTTTGTGAGATTATCATTCTTAGTGAAAGCTCTTTGTGATATTTCGTTGTTCTATTCTTATTATTAGTCATTGTTTGATAAATCGATTGATCTAAGGTCCTTTCAGAGAAAAAATGATTAAAAAAACTAACTAGTTTTTGTGTCTTACTCTTCTTTATATGCTCAGGCACACATGGGAATGACCATACTTCCATTAAGTGTATAAGTAAAGTCATGTAAGAGGGTATGGTCTAAAAATCAAGTCAAATAATCCAAACTCACATCCCATAAGGGATCTACGGTTTTTGAGTGTGTAAGCACCAATCAAGAGTGTGTTGCACTCTATCTTACAAACTAGCTACTTACATATGAAGTAAATGATTACTCAAAGTGTCTATTTAATTTGTGCATAACATATATATATCCAGACCATATTAATATAATTAGTTTTTGTTATGTTTTATTTTTATTTCCTAGAAACAATAATTTTCAATTAATTATTAAAGTATTATTTTCATAAAATAATAATTCTCCAACTAAATACAAGTGTTGATTATATTTATTAATAACCAAATTACTTTAATAAATAATTAATTAGTAGTAATTTGTTATATGGTGTGACCCTATAAGATCATATGTCATTAGCAAATATTATTCTATAATGACTATTGGGCATACATATCTTTCAACGACTAGATCTAGTATTTTAGATGTTTTTGGTCCTTTTTTGTTGTGATTCAATGTACTTTGGACAACTCTAGGTCCAAACGCAGTATTAGTTGTTAATATGGACCTTCTATGGTGATTTGTGTGCATGTTCACCTTTCCTTTCAAGCCAAGCATCAAGATTTTCCCATTTTAGCCTCGTTAGATCTAGGGTTTTATAGAAAGCTTTTTAGAGGCATGCTAATGGCTAAAGTTGGAAAATTTATCCATTAACTCCACCTTTTGAATTATTCTGGATGTTTTGAGCTTAGGCCTTACGAGATTAAGTGCTTAACAAGAAATGGAAATCCGCCTGAAAAACACGACTGTAACACCCATTTCTACAAGTATCGATGGGTTTTATAGGTTATAAATTTATGCATGAGGCGAAAATTACTTAACTCTTAAGTTCACACGCAACCTATGTAACATTTGGGTTCTAGTATGTTTCCTTTTTAACTCTTAATTCTTAATTCATAACATTTTGGTCCCTGGCTAGTACGCGGGGCATACTCTATGAGTACGCTTAGCATACTAGCTCTCTGATTGATCGTGAGTTCACCCATGTGCGTTGGGCGTAGGTGGGAGTATGTTGGGCATATGCAAGGATTGGGAAAACCCTAATTTTTAGGGTTTATGTCCAATTTAAGTAGCTTATGTTGCCTTGGTGGTATCTTTTGGCCAACCTCCACTGCCCTAAACCCTTAGAACGAAACCGTAATATCTTTTGTGATCTTTGGAGATTGGAAATGAGTTTTGGTGGTATTTTTGGTGATTTGAAGGAAGAACTCTTGGAGATTGTCTTGGGGTAGCTTGAGCTTGTAGATCCAAACACATCATCACCATAGCAAGCCATTTGAGGTAAAAAAAAAAGCTCTCATCTTGATGGTCCTCTGTGATAGATCCATGTTATGATGTTATTTATGCATTTTTTTGGTCTTTTAAGTCATATATGAATTTATGGTCTACCCCAAAAGTTATAGATGTTAGATCTATGCTTATTTAAGGTCCCTTGTCCATAAAAATGCAAACTTTATGTAAGATATTGGTCCATGCAAGTGTTAAGACTCTTATTAAGCTTCTTTTTTAGTGTTGGGTTCCAGTAAGTCATCATGGGTGTAAAGTTGCCAAATTTACGTATTAAGTCCCCATTTAGGATCATATCTGAGAGTTAGGCAAGTTGTGTTAACTGAATAAGTGCTTAGTGTAATGGATTGGTGATACGGGGAGTACATTGGGTGTACCCAGGTAGTACGTTGCACATACTGGCCCCAGAAGGAGTACGCGAAGCGTATGAGCTGAGTACTCCCCGTGTACTCAACATATTGACTTTTGGGTTGAGTTTCTCAAGTTTGAGCCATATTTTGGGCTTTTAGGGTTTGGGCCTTGTTGGGCCATTGGACTTCTGACTTTGGGCCATGGGTAGACTATAGAATTTCTTAGGATTAGGCCCATGATAGTTTTTGGGCCCAATTAGGAATTTGGGCCACATTGGGCCTTGGGATGCCATTTAAGGAATATGGGACTTTTGAGTGGATGGGTTGGTCCTTGGTTTTGGGATAACTAAGGAAAAGGGTAAAATGGTCTTTTACCCTAGATATTGGACAAATAGCTTAGATTCTTGATTATGGGTCGAGATCCAATTATTAATTGGGTATTATTTTATGATGTTAGCATGGGGATTTTCCTGACCAACAGACTGATATTTTATCCGAGTGATTCTGTAGTTTAATATGAGTTCTTCACTGTGTTTAGCGGGTCAAAGACACAAATGTTGGCCCATGGGTTTGATATGTTAGGATACTAGTTGTTTGCATGACTCTTGCATGTGTTATGTGGTTATATTTTTACCGGGCGGGGCCTGATGCCGAGTGGGGCCCAATGATTATCTTGTATGCTATTTATCTTTGTGATTATTGTATGTTTTTTATGTGATTATATGTTTATTCTTTACGTATACCGGTCGGGGCCTGATAACTGAAAAATCTGTTTACCGAGCGAGGTCCATTATATGTTTTATACATATGGTATGTGGTATTTTAGGGAACTCGCTAAGCTTTGTGCTTACGGTTTTCAATTTATGTTTTAAGTACTTCTGGTTCGAAGGGTAAGAGGTCGGGGTGATTGCAGTGCACACACCACATTGTTCCGCCTTTTTATATTACTCTGATGTACTTGGATGTTATTAATACACTTTGATTCACCATTGTTTCTATGTTGTTGATTGGATAATGTTTTTAATTAATTCAAAAATCAAATTTTTTAGTCTTAATTTTTGGGGACGTTACAAGTTGGCATTGGAGCCTTCGTTTGAGGGATTCAGACATACTCTTGGGTGTGTCTGAACTCAAACTGAGGGTTTGGTAGAATTTTTCAAAAAGAAATGTTTTATGAAAATGGTTTTCTAATAAAAGAAAAATGGTGTGGTGCATGCAATCGATCGAGCTCAAGTAAGTTTTCCCAAAATACCCATACATGTTTTATGATATGGTTTGATTTGTGAATATGTGAATCGCATACTAGTCAGGGCTAAGGATCTTATCAGAATTTGCATGATAGAATGTTAGGAGAGATGCCTTTATATGCCTACTATATGAGCTTGTAGACTTGCATGATAGTACTGATCACATGGTGATAGGATAGCTTGTTTAGGTTATGCTTGTTTTGATTACTCGATGCTCGAATGCTACTTGTTTTGTGCTTTTAGGTGTTCCCATTAGCTTCAGCTTACTA